CCTCCTGAGACCCTGCATCCTCATATGAGGACATTATATTTTAGTGAATTTCTCTGAGACTATACATGTCACAGTCTGGATGTCGTGTACAGAGCACATTCAGGGCTTTTCAGAGATACTAAATGTTTGGATGTTTCACCATGACCACCCCCTCTCCTTGGTCTTCAAAAATGTCTGTTATTAATTTAGTGACACTCTTATGGAAATATGATAATATTTTGTAATTGTCATTTAAATCGGACAAATTTTTAAACTGTGTGTCATAAATCAACATCTCAGGAAAATGTTATGGGGTTTCAAATCAAATATGACTTTCTGTTATGAAACAGGAGGTTGATTTCATACATGTCCTCATATGAGGACACCGGGACTAAAAGCATGTTTATTATGCATTTTGTGAGACAACAAATTAAAAGGGAAAGAAAATATATTTCAATATTCCTATGAAATATTATATATTATTATGAAAATCTTGTCAATTATTACTCTCAATATTACACTTTTCATTACATGTTGCCCCAAAAACACATTAATATGCAAATTAGATGTAGTTTACAGATACATTGTATATAATGAGAAAACCTGTTTGTGGCCATTTTACACACATTTTGCATGAAGAAAAATGGTATATCAAGTCATTCTGTTATGACATAGTTGATAATTCTCTTGCACAGAAACTCCACATATCCATAGCAGAAGTAATACTACTGACGATGCTCCAGGAAGGTATCCAGTTATCGCTGAATAAAACGCACAACAGTGGTAGAGACATTTTAACTGATGAAACTTGAGGGAAATAAACATACGACTACACAAAATATATGGTTTTTCTGTGTTCTTCAATCTTGGGTATTTTTATAAGGAAAGTATATTTATAATGCAATGTTAATCGACATGGCCTTTATCACTGTATATAATACTATCATTCTGTAATATGAAACCACGTCTGGTCACAAAAAGAAGTATTTCAAACACTCGACTATGTTATTAAGTTAATTTGGAGAAAAAGCATGTCAATAAATTATATCTTTGTTGGACAACAGTTTTGTAAACAGGCTCATACACATGCAAAACTGTATCGCACACATGTTACTGCAGTACATTTATTCAGACCGATTTTTTTGTGCACTGTACAGCCCTGACCAAACCAGTTACAGCTCGAGCTCCTCATTTAGCGATATAGGCTACTCCTCAATTTCACGTCCGCATTCCATGATGTCGCTCCGCACTGTCGCACACAGAAATATGTCAACAACTAGACTTTATCATTATTATCGCAGGAAGACTAATTCTTATTGTGGGGAGAATTTTTACCGGTATATCGCAAACGATAAGATATCGCCCATCCCTAGCCCTAACTAACATTAGGACAAGGTTAGGAACAAACGAATAAATACAAACTGTTTGTTTGTTTGTTGTTTTATTTTGCATTTCAACATTATCAGTACATTATCGACTAACATAAGTACAACTGTAAGCCCTTACAGACTGAGATATAGTTATTAATAATAATGCATAGTCTGTGTTTGCTACTTGTCAGTGTCAGTAGCTATGTTTTCATCCACATTTTTATGCGCATTTTGGAATATTGCATAAAAGAAGGTTGGATGGAAATGCCAAGAAGCACATACATTCTTAAAAATGCACATAAAAAACTTATGCACACAATTGAGTAGGATATTTTTTTTACCAATAAGAAAAATGCATATAAACTACCATGGAAACACATTTATCGAATAAATTCCACCATGCGCATTAAAAGTCGTGATTTTGCACGATGGGACTGGATAACTTGACTAACCAGCAGGCTGATCTCGGTGCACAGCATCTGAAATGCTGGTTTGGTCATTCTGAAATGCTTGAGCAATGTCTGTCATCAAAGTATTTCTGTATATTTGTCTTACACGACTACTAGGGATGTAACGGTATGAACATTTCTTATCACGGTTATAGTGACCGAAATTATCATGGTTATCAGTATTATCACGGTATTTTTAAAATGTGCTGAAAATGTTCAAAAAGTACCGACACATAAATCACTTCAAGTTTTATATTTAAAATCAACAAACAACAAATAAAATGTCTTTTTGTTTGCATAAAGATTAAAACAATAACATTACCAATGATGTCCGGATTTTAAATGACAACATGACTGACAACAGTTTATCTAATAGCATGTACGAAATGTTCAAATAAAACTTTGGTTTTAAAAAAGGTTTCATAAAATGGTAAACCTCGCATTTCAGCCTTTAAATAAAGAAAGGTTAAGTCAAAATGATAATTGATTAATAAATGATTATATGTATTTTATCTGCTCCATAATAATTCTAGATACCTTATCCAAATTGTTTACATGTGTAGAATCCACGTAAGCTTGTTTTTCATTAACTGGTCAAAATTTACAGCTTGGTATGCAGATCCGTTTTTTGGCCAGACAAAATCTGCACACAGGCTGAATGTAAATGTAACTCTCTGTAAATCCACTCTCTCACACTAGGTGGCACTTATGGAACAGCAGAATTACAGCTGTTCCCGTAACCTCCGTGGACAAGCAGCATTGCGATTAAGAACACTACTTTATTAGGTATTACACGGAGCGAAGATGAAAACAAAATGGCATCGATTCTTTTCTGAAGACAGTCAGAACTTAATTAGTTCATTCATATATTAATTTGCATAATTCCCTTAGCACTCTTTTAAAACCTCACAGTTTGCCGCCATGTTTTCACACAAAATGAAACTACTCTGAATGTTGTGTGCACATGAGACTGTTATTTAAAGTAGCTTTATGCTAGATAGTGATTATTTATCGTGAGTTTGAATCAAATACGGTTTTAATGATAATTAAAACATGAAACAGTAATACAAACCATTTGAACTTCAGCAGATCGTCTTGACCATGCCTAAATGTTGCTGTCATGTGATTGGCTGATTAGATATTTGCTTTAAGGAGCAATTGAACCAGTGTACCTAACACACCTACGTAATAAATTATTATCAATGAGGTTGTCTACACTGTGCAATTAATCTCTCATTTACATTGTTTACATTGTGTTATTTATAGCAAAAGGATTCACAAGTGTGTAGAACAATCATTGAGGTGCACTGAACAAAAACTTGCAGTATTTTGAGTGGTATTCAGTAGGGTTGTGACGGTGAGGAAATTTCCCCACCGGTTAATCGACGTGTGACAACACCGGTAATACCGGTATCACCGTTGGGGTGGGAGGGGGGTGTTAGTTCGTTTGAGTTTCCCTCTTTTCTTCGCTTTCAAATGGCTTGTAAAAGTTCTGTGCGCATTTTACTTTAATTTTTGAATTTGCGGCAATTGAATTGAATTGCAATTCGGCGTCAAGCAATTGTTCTTTTGAGTTTTCCCTCTTTTCCTCGGATTTCTTGGCTTTCAAATAGCTTGAAAAAGTGCCGTGCGCGTTTTACTTTCACTTTCAAATTAGCGGCAATTCCGCGTTGATTCAATTCAAGCAACAACGTCAAACTAATAACTTTATTAACATAACGAATAAAAATACACCATATATACCTAATAAAATAACAAGTTACTTAGGCTACACAAAATTTAAATAGGTATATAAAACTGAAAATCAGCAAACACTGTGGAACCAAATAAATAAGAAACAGTTGAGCGTTTAGTTTTTAAAAGTGTCTGTCCTCTAACTGAACTAGGCTAAATTATTTTTGTTTCTATAAAAAAAAAATCAAAATGACGGTGGGAGGCGGTGCCGCGGTAGGCAAATGACGTAACCGGAGTTGCGGCTTAACACCGGTATAACCGAAAATACCGTCTATCGCAGCAAGCCTAGTATTCAGTAGATGTGCCACTGACTGTCTTAAACACCACTGATTGGTCACTTTGTTCAGTGCTCGATTGGCGATGATGCTGAACACTGTTAAAAACATTGTAAATAGAAACCTTTGTTGGTCTTTACAGAGCACTCACACACACACTTTGGAGAGTTTGAAAGCAGAGCCTATTTAGCTGTCATACTAGTGAGACGTGAGTGAAATTCACTTGTCATTGAACAGCATGTCTTTATAAGACCAACATTTTGTATTTTTTACATGATATTACCTAATTTTATTTAATCAGCAAAGATATAGCGATAATATGACTAATTCTCAATTTCCTGTCTTTTCCCTTTTCATTTTTAGCTCTGTTGATTCCTGTAAGAATCCGGAATAGATTGCCATTATTATACATTTACCCACGTCATATATGAAGACTCACAGCTAAAACAGATTGAAAACATTGACATGACATCCTCTCATTGAATCAATTGAGTGTCCAAAAAGAATGCCACTCCAAACTCAGCACCTATGTAGTCACAGGGGGTTCTTAATAATAGCATTGGAGGTTTGGATCTGAATCATTCACACCGCAGTCTGTCATGGGCTTTAATTGACATGCTGAGGGTAACAGGGGTCACACACTGTCCTGAGATCAGTTCAGAAGGAATTAAAGGTAGAAAACGTCTGTCTGTGGACAGTGAGAGGCAGTCTCGTTAACACAGGCACTCAGCCGGACGGACGCCTCTCTGCAGTAGCTGTCAGTGTGTGGCATAGGGCTGTCCGAGCATGGGTCTTGAGCAGAGTGCTGCTGATCGCTGGTTAATAGTGGCAGTTTAAACGGTAACTGATGTAACGCCCACGGCACACACTGTCTGACCAACTCACTGCACTCTGTAAGGCAGGATCTCAACATTTAAAGCAGAAGAAACAGGAGTCCTGCAGCTGACAGGAATAGACACCAGGGTAATGACAAGACTCAAGGGAGAGTTTACAACGACCACAATAGATCTCATCCTGGATGGATGTAACTGTTGAATCGACTGTAAGAGAGAGCTTTGTTTCAGAGTAAAACTTTAAGGTGGGTGAAATTAGAATCCCCTATATTGAGCGATTCTATCATTTGGCAAATAAGATTAGAAAATTGGCTTCTAAATATTTTATTTTAGGATACAAATCTGGAGTCCCATTTAACATTAATGTCTTTTTTTTTTTTTTTTGGTCCGGTCTGTGCGATAGCATGCATGCCACCATGCTTCATAAAGTGCTTTCTTGTGATCTGCAGTATAACCATATAAAACGACGCAAATCCCATGTAAGATTAATGTTATTAGTAACTCAGTTCCTTATGAAGCCAGATTTTGCATATCCTCAGTCAAAGAGACACTGTGTACCAGTGGGAATTAACAAAGCCCAGGGTTACTGGATACTGTAGTTCACACAAAAATGAAAATTGTCATCATTTACTCACCCTCATGTTGTTCAAAACCCATAAGACTTTTGTTCATTTTTGAAACACAAAATAAAAAATCCTGAGACCTGTAACCTGAGAGATTTTTGTCTACCAACCGAAAAATTTAACTTCAAATAATCCATATGAATTGATTGAGTGGTTTAACCCAAGTCTTCTGAAGCGACATGATCGATTTAAATGATGAACAGATTTCAACTGCACTTACTTTTCATTCAAAAATATCTTCATTTATGTTTTAAAGATGAAGGCAAGTTCTATGGGTTTGGAATGACTTGAAGGTTAGTAAATGATGACAATCTTCATTTTTGGGTGAACTATCCCTTTCCAACCAAATGTAGAAAAAATGTTTCTCATTCTTGATGGTATATAGTAGTTGTAATAAAATCATATCACTTGGTACAGTGCAGAACTGTGCACAATGTTGAGCTTCATTTCAGACAGAATATATAACGCCCCCTGACCAACATCTCATAATTCTACATGATCCAGCATAACACAGATGTGTCTGTAGGCTGTCCAGCCACTCTTCCTTGAACAAAGCAAGAGTGAATTTCATGTAAAACTTTCTAAAGCCTAAATACTATAGCAGGGGTGGTGTGTGTGTGTGTGTCTGTACAGGTCTCAGGGGACAAGAGCATCTTCAGCACTTGTGCACAATACAGCACATTGTTTTGAGGGCTAATAGAGGCAGTGAACAGTGTTCAGATGAGACACTCTTTACACACACTCAGACAAGCACACACACTTGTATGCCTGCACTCCATCAATCAGATAACCAATAATACTACAATATATTACAATTCATTTGGTCACACTTTATTTTAAGGTCTATTTTAAGTACTACAGCAATATGAATAAGCAACTAATTGGTCCCTGAAATAGTGTTACTGTTAATTTTACAGTCACTGAAGTATTTGAATACCTCCAAGCTTTAGGTCTTTCATTCTCAAGAGGCCTTTAATAATACAGATAGTTTCAGCTGTAAAAGCAGATTGGATGAATTAAGGTGATCAAGAAAGCAACAAGCAGTGATTTTACCACAGAAAGTGGGTGTTCTTAAAGGGTTAGTTCACCCCAAAATAAAAATTATGTCATTAATTACTCACCCTCATGTCATTTCAAACCCGTAAGACCTTCGTTCATCTTCGGAACACAAATTAAGATATTTTTGATGGAATCTGAGAGCTATCTGACCCTGCATAGACAGCAACGCAACTGAAATGTTCCCAAGTCCAGAAATGTAGCAAGGAGATCTGTAAAATAATCCATGTGACATCAGTGGTTCATCCGCAATTATACAAAGCTACGAGAATACTTTTTGTGCACAAAAGAAAAATAAATAATGACTTTATTCAACAATTCGTCTCCTCCGCATCACCCTGGTGCCATTTTGGAGAATATCCGCTGGACGTAAAACAACGTATGCTGTTCTGTGTCAGTTGCGTCACACGGATAACGTTACGCTGTTTCCGTTCAGATCAAATCACAACAACTGATGTAAGTCTCAAAAACGAAAGGTCACATCTCAGGTGCTTGGGTTAATTTCACATAAGACATAAATGGGAAAATAACTTGCAGTACATGGAGTTTAAGACTGATTTACTTTATTACGAGTTACTTTGTGTGTTTTTTGCATATGGTGAGCAAAGCAAACAAAGATGCCATATAGCAGTGAAAGAAACACTCGCATGCGGTTTAAATATGCAAACGTCTCATTGTGGTGATTTTGATAAATCACATACTGATGCAAACGAACCAGTGGTGATAAATTGTAAATTGGTGCAAATTCGACTTAAAAAGTCTGCAAAGTGTAGTATGTGCTCATTCTATTCTCAGTCTGGAGCCCTGTTAAACTGCCAGTAGCTGTGATCTCTTAAACTGCAGTAAATGGAACAACAGTGTTCTAACAGTAACAGTGCTTTTATATGTTGGTGATCCTGCTAAACTATTCGTGAAAAAATTTTATTGTCAATGTACCATATAATGTGCTTTGTTTAAAGCAAGCTTTGAATCTGTTCATTTTAAATGCATCTGAAGTTTTATTACTTTATTCTTATGCATGGCTTTTTAGAAGTCCCATTAACCCTCCAAAATTCCCATTTTTGGCAGCACAGCAGACCCAGAGTGACGTCCTTTTATACTTCCCTTGCAGGATCTTAACCAGTACCTTGAGGACAAAGTTTACCTGGCTGGGAACGTCTTCACCCTGGCAGACATCCTCATGTATTACGGCATTCACCACATTGTTGTAAGTCCCTCAGCAGTGAACTTCAATCGTTTGAGAGAAGTGATGCAGAGCGCCCAATTAAAGCAGTAAGATGCTTAAAGCACAGGAGAAACCTGACACGGCAGAAAAGATGAGACATGTAGTGATGTCATTTCCCAGGACAGCAGCCAAGGAAGTTTAAGGAGCCTGAAGGAGCCCATTGAGAAAGGAAGAAAGGGATTAAATGAGAATTAGAGAGAAAGAGAATTGAAGATCACATCTCTCCATGTCAGTGTTTGCAATTGACTGACTAAATGACTGACAGAGAGTTGTCATTACCCAGAAGGCATTAGTGTGTCACTCAGTTTAAATCTCCTGAAGATAAGGTCCGTTAGACGTACAGTTTCTTAAAAAAAAAAAGAAAAGAAGGTAAAGAAAATATTCACCCCCTGGTAATTTATATATATAAAATATTCACCCCCTGGTAATTTATTCATGTAAAAGTGAAAACAAATGCCTAGAAATTGTGCTACCATTATTAAACCCAAAATAACATATTTGTATTCACCATTCTTCAGGTGTTTAGTAGATTTCTCTTTTTTTGCTGTATGTTGCACAGTGTTTGGCTTTTGACAAACATGGTGTTTAGTCTGATGGCCAGAAAGTACTACTTTTGCTTAACTATAGGGCCTTTCGCACCGCTTTAGTTCCAGAACTAAATGTACAGTACTAAAGTACTGGGACGATTTTGCGCGAACTATTTCCCAGTACCATTTAAAGGGTTGCATTCGCACCGACAGTGTGTACTAAGAAGTGACGTAAGCCGGTCGACAGCGACGTCATTTGTGCGCGGCGTTCAACAACAGAAACAAAGAAGAACAGCATTAACAACAGGAGGATGGAGGACGAAATAATGATCTTTAAAAAAGCATCATATGACCCCTTTAACTTTACACTGCATTCACATGGTATCAGAAACTTTCTACTTCCCACTTGTGAAGTTGTAATTATGAATTTGTCGTGTTCAAGTGCTTTGTTGTCGGAAAGAACTGAAATCATGGTGGATGGCCCATTCATGAGTTCATTCTTGCTGGTTTCTTGGGGAAATTTCATTAAAGCCAAAAGGTATAGGAGATATTTAGTCAATATCCAACAGTTTTTGAATAAGAGCGTAGCGTCCCATTAATTGGTAACCATATAAATATTTACTGAGATATAAATATTCAGCTGGCTGACTATTCCTAAATTTCGTTCAAATAAATGCTTCTTTTTTTTTTTTTTTTTTTTTTTTTTTTTATTTTGGTAACATGTTTTTTTAACATGTGTTTTAAGAGTTCTTAACTTAATGTTATAGTGTAGTACATTTGTTGTAGTAAAATTTTAATATCCTTTATTCAATAATACAATATGCATTAAATGGTTATTTATATATGCAAATATTCGTGACTTTAACTTATCAATGTAGATGTTGTGGGAAAAGCGAATAAAGGCAAATATGTTTCTCTCCTCCGCCATGTTTAAAATTTATGGCCTGCCCAACTTGGATATCAAAATTTTCTTAAAGTTTCTCAGTTGTAAATACAACTTGAGAGGTCATTCATGTCCAATTTCTGAATAAGAAACTCGTATTTACGATAATTTTTTGGCAGAATTAGATCACACCCCCGGAGGTGTTGCTGTTACACAAAAGAGTGAGATAGTTAGTGCTATAGCACAGAAAACTGTTTTGAAAATCATTGTATTGACATAAACTGAAGTGTAAAAACAGAAGAAAAATATTATATAACATTATAACACTATTCATAAAAATGCAACATTCTTTGTTTCTTTTTCTAACAAGGCAAATGGAATGATAATGCACTCACCATCAATCTGTGGAACTCCCCATGCTTTTCTCTTTTCTCAAGAATAGGGTGTACCCAATAACACCATCTTTTTCTTTTCCTTTTTTTCATTTAGTAAAACAAAAACTCATCTGCTGCTGCTGGTAGAGAAATCCATTTTCTTTGTGCACTTCCAGAATTAAATCACAGAGGGTGCTTCTGTACTTAGTGAGGGTGCTCTAGTCTTAAAGGGTTAGTTCACCCAAAAATGAAAATTATCCTGTTATTTACTCTCCCTCAAGCCATCCTAGGTATATATGACTTTCTTCTTTCAGACGAATCCAACCAGCGTTATATAAAAAATTGTCCTGGCACTTCTAAGCTCTGTCATTGCAGTGGGTGGGTGTTTCTGTTTAACAGTCCAAAACATGTTAAATAAAGTGCGCGCATCTGTAATAAAATGTGCCTCACACAGCTCCGGGGGGCGAATAAAGGCCTCCTGTAGCATATCCATTCGTTTTTGTAAGAAAAATATCCATATTTCAAATGTAATAAACACTTTTCTATCACTTCCGGTATCTGTCATATGCGGAAGCATTTCCGGCAGATGACGTAGGACATCGGCATTGCGTGATTAGTGACGAACACGGAGAGAGAACAAAACAAAACGCCGGTCAGGAATTAGAAGTACAAACTGAGGATTTGTAAAGAAAAATGTCAGGATTTCGATATAAAGTAAGGAAACTTTGCTTCTTTTGCTCCTGTAAACAAACTTGTGAGATTAGCATATCTCGGAGCATATCTCAGAGGCGTGACGCATACGTCCTACGTCATCCGCCGGAACAGCTTCCACGTATGACAGTCAGCAGAAGTGAGAGAAAAGTATTTATGATGTTTGAAATATGGATATTTTTCTTCATGCCCCGGAGCAGTGTAAGGCACGTTTTATTATGGATGCGTGTGCTTTATTTAACGTCTTTTGGACTGTTAAAGAGAAACACCCACCCACTGCAATAATAACGCTTGGAATAGCCAGGACAATTTTTAATATAACTCCAATTGGATTGGCTCGAGGGTGAGTAAAACACAGGCTCATTTTCATTTTTGGGTGAACTAACCCTTTAATGCACATTTTGACATATATTTTGCCCTGTCCATTGTTATGGTTATCACTATGTTAATTATTGCTATTTCAAGAGGGAATACCGCAGAAATATGCATATATCGTTCTTGAAACTTTGCAGCGTGTATTAGGGCTGAACGATTTTGGAAAATAATCTAATTGCGATTTTTTTTAACCAATATTGCGATTGCGATTTAATATGCAATTCTTTTTTAAAGCTCTTTTTTTCTGTATTATTCAACAAAGACAAGCTATAAATCATTGTATAGTATGACCAACACAATATTAGATAGATTAAACATAAATGTTCGTTTCTGTAGGCCAGGCCTTTGTTACGATAAAATTAGGTGATGCATGAATTTATATTAATGACATTTTTATTTAACTACAATCACAGTAGTATATTGACTGATTTGTTGAACTTCCAACCTTGTAAGCATGTAATAATTATGACAACATAAAGCACTGACAAATAAGCCTGCTGTAAACATTAATATGAAAGTCAGTAACAAATCGCACAAACTAGATTGCAGAAATATAAAAACAAATCTGTTGCTTTACCACACTACTTTAGATAATTCAAAGTCACTGTAATAAACAAATGTAAACATGTGGGCTGCACTTTTTAAACACTGTCTTACACTGTCTTTAAACTTTAGACCAGTGGTTCTCAAACTTTTCTGGTCGTGCCCCCCTTTAAACCTATCAAAAAAATCTGCCTCTGCGATTGAAAAATCGTGTTTTTTCATATCGCGATATTATCGCAAATGCAATTAATCGTTCAGCCCTAGCGTGTATGTGTCTGATAAACAGTTAATGTCTGATAAAAGTTTCAGAACTCAGAACCGCGTTTTCAGCGGTGAGACAACTCTGATTGGCCATTGTCTTCAAGAAACCAATAGTTATTTCTGTGATTGGCTAATTTGCTCAATGCTGAACAAACATGTTGTAAATAGAAACCTTTGGTGCTCCACAGAACGCAAACACAAATAGCAACTGGAGTGTTTGCCAAATCGGTTTCATCCATGAAGCTATTATTAAACCTTCAACTGGGTGTGCTCTTGCTTTCATTTGAGAGTGCTTAGAGGGTAGAACTGGGCCTGAATTACCAGTTTGTTTGTGCTATGTGCCAACATTTAAGTAATTATTCTTCTCACTGGTCAAAAAACGATAGGACGATCAGCTGAGTGGCGAGTTGCGCCATCTCGTGTCCAGGTATGAAATGCATTTTTAGTCATTGCCACCTATTGTGCAGGCCTGAATTAGCTGAAGGCGATCATTCGTTACTGATTTGCTTGACTTTTTCGCATCATTCTCAGTTTAAAAGGCCATTAAAAGTCTAGTCTTAAGACACTATTTGACTTTTTTTTGTTTTTTTTTTTTTTTTTTTATTTTTTTATATTTA